CACAGAACCCCCCCCCATCCTGGGTTCCCTCAGGCCGAGCAGCCGTTGAGGGGCCCTCCTCCTCCTGTGGGCCGGCCGAGGAAGGCTTCCCTCAGGATCCCAGGATCCTGCCCTCGGTCCTCGCCCGCGCCAGGCGGTCGCCACAAAAAGAGGGCTTCCAGGCTGTAGCGGTCAGAGCTTTGCTAGGCAAGGGGGCTTTCTGCGCCCAGCGGAGTGGGGGGGGAGGGAAGAAGAGAGGGACCTCTGGGAGGAGAGGGGGGGGAGAAGGGGAGATTCCCTTCCCCTCCAGGCCCAGGGACTCCTGCTTTCCTCCCTGTGGGGGAGAGATGGGGCTCTGAAGCGAAGCCCCCCCCCCCGAAGTAGCTGATTTGGGAGGGGGGAGCTGAGAGGGGCTGCCCTGCAAGGCTGTCCAGGAGGAGGGAGGCCGGCCGGCCAGGAGAAGAGAACAGCCAGTGTACACGGAGCACCTTCTGTCCCCATAGGAGAACTCAGAAATATTTGGGGGGGGGGCTCACAAGCATGTGTGTGTGTGTGTGTGTGAGAGAGAGAGAGACCATGAGGGTCGCTCTTGCACACACGGGCAGGCCTGAGTGGGAGATGGACCCAGACTCAGGGCTGACCCAGGGCTGATTGCCTACTGGAGGTGGAACTCTTGACCGCCTCCCTCCCCGATTATCCTAACAGTCTTCCTGGGCCTCTTCTGATCAGCTTTGTGGTGCCTCTTAGCCAGCCGGGTGCCTTCGGGTTCTGCTCTCCTTTGCTGAGCGGGCAGACCGCCGTCGGGCAGCGGCCGGACTCTCTGAGGGCCTGCAGGCGTCAACCGACCATTCCCTGGTGGGGCCCGGAGCGTCTGCTGGGGCAGGGAACTGATCTGCTGGGAGGCTGGTGATTCCTGAGCATCTTGCAGCCGTTGGGGACTTTCTCGTCACCTGAGCAGCGGATTCTGCTCCTCTCGGTGACCACGGGAAACGGAAGAGTCCCAGACAGTGATCAGTGTTGCTCCTGAGGATTGCACCCCGCCAAGCGGAGCCAAAGAAACGTTTTGGTCTCCCCAGGGAGGCAAGGAAGATGAGCGGGAGTCAGCATGAGGCCAGCTGTCGTGGTGACCCTGATGGCAGAATACCTGTGCTTCATCACCTCCACCTGGGGGTGCTTTCCCACCTGCCAAAGGCCCATGAGCAGAAGGGGGTCTGTTCTGGCTTGATCCTGTCTGCGGTTGATGTAGGGTTTGGGCAGGAATTATTTGTTTCTTGGCCTGCTCTTCCTCTTTGTATATATGTTAACTTTGTTCGAAGCCTATCTCCTCTGATACGCTTGCGGTTCTTCTACTCCATCCCTGTTGAAGGGTGGACTGAAGGACACCTTCATGGGCTGGAATCTGCTTCCTGGCATCTCCGTGGCCTCCCTCATGTACATTGCCCACTATCCTCTTCTCGCGCTGCCTGCCTGCTTTCTGAAATGAGGTCAAGTCCACATCTTTCTGTTCCAAAGGCGGCTTCCGCCCGAACTCTTAAAACGATCAACTTCATAGAATCATAGAATAGAATAATAGAATAATAAAGTTGAAAGGAGCCTATACGGCTCAAGGCAGGATCCCAGGTCAAAGGGTATCTGCCAGGTGTTTGCCTAAGTTCCATTGACTTGCCTATCTCCTGCTTAGAGATCCGAGATTTTCTCCTCTCCAGACAAAAGCGTCAATGGAGTGGCTGTCTGCTCCTTGATTGGCACTCAGACCTCCCTCAGCCCTTCTGATGAGTGACCTCGTCGGGCACCAAGGACTCCAATCTCTTAAACCTTTTGCAGCCCTGAATCAGATCATTGTTTTGCAAAGCAAGATACGGAGGGCTGCAGTGCAACAGCTTGTAACAGAACAGCTAGTAATGAAAGAAAACACAAACGTACTGCCAGATTGTGGTGAGGTAGCAAGCCGCTGGCCGGCCATGATCACAGTTGCCTTTTGATAAGTGGCCTGAAACGTCATCTGATCCTACGTGATGTAACGAACCTTGTGGGCTTATCCAGACCTATGTTTATTTTTCAAGTGAAATCTTTCAAGTGTTGGCCATAATTAGATGAGGCATAAAAACAACCAGTCAAAATGGTGCCGTCTTTCAGTGGATCCGTAATGCCACCAGACCTGGAATGCTACCTGGAGGTCTGGTTGTTTCCCTTTTAAAAAGGGATGTGGAGAAGACTCAGAAAAGAGGAACCACCATGAGCAAGGGAGCCAAGGAGGTCCCGTTCTAAGGCGGGGAAGGGGCAAGGAAGAGGCAGGGGATGCAGTGATTCTCCCTCCCCTCCTCGTTTCTCCTAATGGGAGAGCAGGGAGGAATGGTCTTCCTGCCTTGAGCAGAGGGGGTTGGACTGGATGGCCTTGTAGGCCCCCTTCCACCTTCACCTTTCTATGACTCTGTGAATTTCCGAAGTATAAAAGGGAACTGGGGAGTTCACTGCCAAGAGGGTCCCTTCGTGGCTGCCAGCACCACGGGTCTTAGAAGGGGGGGAGGCCACGAGCTGGCTGGCCACACACGGGTGGGAGCGGAATGTGGGACTCGAGGGGCCTTCTTCGCCCCCCCCCCAGCTTCTGCGTGGTCTCTCGCTTCAGTTCAAGGCGTGGTTGGGGCCTCTGCCACCGTCGGCCCCTCCCTTTGAGGGTCACGCCTGGGCTTTGGAGCCCCCTCGCAAAGAGGGAGCCTGTCTTGAGCCCCAGATCACGACGCCTTTGGTCCCCTGAAGCCTCCTTCCTTCTCTCGCTTCTTTTTCTCTCTGCGTTTGAAACTGTTCCCAGGTGTGAAGGGAAAGGTTGCTAGCGCTTTCTGCCCCACGGTTGGGTGTTTCTTCTTGTCTACTGATCTTTCAAATAGGGTTTTGCCTGTCTGGTGCTCCGTACCTTGCCAGGGTTGGCTAATGCGAGCTGGGTGGGCTTTCAAGAGAGAAGAGGACTCTCCCACCACCGCCACCAATCAATCCATGGGGACAGAATCCTTGGGGGAGGGGTGTTCGTTAAGAGTCTTTATCCTAAGCCGTTTATGGATTTAAAGGTTGCCATGAGTAGCATTTGGTGCAAGAGGTCCAGGCGCCTGTGTGTCAGGACAGCTCCCAGGGAGGCGTTCCCCTGCCCCAGAACACCTGCGAGTCTCGGGGAGAACTGAACCCGTGCACGTGGAGTCTGGTGGGGCCCCCACCAGGTGGGCCTTTCCCGCTGCTGAGCGATAAAACTGGGTTGATCCTGCCTGGCGGGACGGGGGGGGGTTTGCACTTGCGCTTTCCAGAGCTGCGGGGTTCTTGCTTTCGCCCTATTGCTTTGATCTCCCGGACCCCTTAAAAACCAGCCCCGCGGTTTGCACCCCAACCCTTGCAAGCAGTCAAGCAAACCCTTGGGAGCGCCTTGCTTACCAGAATAAATTCTGAGGATGTCTTCCAGTGAGCATCTGTTGGATCCGTTGGCAGAGCTTGGGTGGAGGGTGGAGGTGCAAACGTAGGCACTGCCACATCTCCGGTGGGTCAGAGTGTGTAGACGGGTGCCACCACCGTGTGGGGCACCCAATGCCAGAGGTGGCTGAGATGAAAAGTGGGGGGTCAGCCCCAGATAGAGGAGGCCTGATTCCCTGCAACGTGGCTAGGCAGCCCCACGAGGGTGCTTCTGCTCCCAAAGGCCTTTGGGACTGGCCAGGCGGGGGCCCTCGGTTGACCGGCTGGCTGTCCACGACGGCCCCTCTCAGTGGATGGGGGGGGGAACCAGGGAGGACTGGGCGCCTTCCTCGGGCTCTTCTGACCTGTCCCTCCTCCTCTTCCTCCCTCTACAGCTCTGAGGCGGCAGCCGCGGCGGCAGACCCATGAGCGTGGCAGTCATGTCCCACGAGAAGAGCTTCCTGGTGTCCGGCGAGCCTTTTCCAGGCCAGCAGCCGCCGGCGCCCCCAGGCTACGCCCAGCCTCCGTACCCAACGGCTCCTTACCCACAGCCGCCCTTCCAGCCAGCCGGCTATGGCCAGCCAGGGTACCCGCAGGGGCCCTATCCTGCACCGGGGCCCTACCCTGCACCGGGACCCTACCCTGCACCAGGGCCCTATCCACAGGGACCCTATCCTGCGCCGGGGCCCTACCCGCAAGGACCATACCCACAGGGGCCCTACGCTCAGCCACATCCTGGGGTCCCAATGGACCACGACTGTAAGTATTTGGCCCAGGGTGGGTGGAGAGTCTTGGGAGGGGGAAGGGCTCCCCCCCCCCGGTCGCCTGGCAGTCCGAAGGGGCAAGAGGGCCTGTGGACGGGGCTTGCCCTGAGGAGAGAGGTCTCAGGCGAGATGGTTTCCCAAGCCGCCTTCTCTCCTCTTCTCTGTCGGCCTTCTGAGGCAGTGCAGGGCACCCTGTCTTGGTCATAGGGAGAGAGCAGGTGCCACGTCCTCTCGGATTGGTGAGCGCCTCCTCCCTCTGCCATCGCCCATGCCAGGAGGGCTGTCGGGGGGCCTGACGGCACGGC